GTAGAGGTGGGACCTCTACAATAGAAATGTGACCCCTTTCAAACATGCAGCAGCTATTTGTGTCTTATTGCATGTCCTCTATGGTCGTGTCCTTAGCTGGAGGGGATACGTTTCCCTTCTTTGTGTAGGACTGGTGAGTTGCAGTCAGGAATATTGTGCCTTCAGCTTCAGAAACAGTGGACACTAAATGTATCCTTTGGCACCTTTTAGAGTTATAAAAGCTGATATTTTTCACAGTTTAATTGCTGCATTACCAGCTTCTGAGTGGGTTTTTTTGACAGCACTGTCTCATGCCTTAACAGTACTCACTTTGATAGTTCACCAAGGTTTTTTACCACTCTTAATGGTGTTGGGTAGAAAAAAAAGCAAAACTATTGGTCTGAGTCCTGTGGAGAATTAATCTGCTGGGCGTCTGAGCTGCCTCTGTTGCTATGGTGTTGGAGATGCTAGTTATTTGACTCCTGAAACCTGACAGCCCTTTGCTTTCTGACCCAGGATTTCACTGGAAGACCTTTGCTGAAGGAAGGATTTTTATTCCTGCCAAATCTTTCATTCAGAAAGCACATTCAGAATGACTGTGCTGTCTGGCTGTTGTTCTGTCCTTAAATTTGCCTAAAGGAGTGTGTCGGAGTTTAGCTTTGGCCTTTCCCAAAGCTTTCTGAAGGAAGTGGATTTTTTTTTCCCCAAGAAGTAGAAGCCTGCAGAAATAGAATTGTTAGCCTGGGGCAGAAGTATTCATAATCTTTCATGGCCTTTGTAAGCCCATGTGCAAATTCTATGTGTTTTTCCTTGCACTAAGGGGTTTGCTTACATTTATTTTGCGAACTTAGTGAAGATGAGCAGGTATGTTCTGTGCCTATTTAAAATATTCATTGTGTATTCAAGTATGTTCAAGATAGATGTTAAAAGCTTTCTCAGGAGGTTTCCTTGCACTGAGGGGTTTGCTTACATTTATTTTGCAAACTTAGTGAAGATGAGCAGGTATGCTTTGTACCGATTCAAAATATTCATTTTGTATTCAAGTATGTTCAAGATAGATGTTAAAAGCTTTCCCAGGAAGCGTTAGAACTTGATAAAACAGCAAGAAATCTTGCAGTGTCTTGGTATAAGGGTCTTAAAGCTCTGCCTTGTGGTGACGAGGCATCAGGACGATGAAGAGTATAATGCTGTGCAGTACCAGTGCATTGCAAATTAAGGTCTGTTTTTGACACAGAAAATGGAAGGGGAAAAACTTGGCTTACCATGGTAAAAATCATGGATTAATTAACCTACTTACTGGTCAGGATACTAAGGCTCCAGGTACAGTCAGTCTTTCCTGCATGGAGGTTCTTGAAATTTTATGCAGTGGCATGATCCCTGGGAATACTGTAGACTAAAAAGCTAATGACTCAAAAGGAAAAATACGTATTTTAGTTAAACATAATCGGTGATCTGGTTTTGATTACTGGTTTAATAAGGCCTCATGGTGGAAACGGTGCTTTCACCAAAAAAAAAAAAAAAAAAGCAAATTTAAACTGTAGGACATAAGCTGTTCACATTTTTAAGATGAAGCCCAGCCTTTTGCTTTGGGTGTAGCAGTCAAACTTGAAGATTCAGAAAGTTTTGAAAAACTGTATGTTAATATGTTAATTTTGGAAGTGTTCTCCTTTTGTTCCTATATATGTGACTGTACTTGAAGGTAGGAATGCTTCCGATTCTCCCTCCTCCTACTCCTTCTTTTCTTCCCTGTCCACATGCATGAGTTGAACAAAGTGTTGTCCATTACAGTTTAACCAGGTTAATATTGCATGTGAATTCAGGTATCATGCCTCATGTTCCATGTGGTGGTGAGGGGCCTGTGGCCACCATTGTTCTGACTTTGAGAAGCTGCTCCTTGGGCCTCAGTAACAGCTTGAGCACTTTCCTTCTGCTAGTCTGCTGTAGCTGTCAAGTAAAAAGTGTTGGTTCATACCTTTATTGGTATGAGAAATGAAATTACATTAAAGTATATGAAAGGTTAGAGACTTAGAGATTTCATATTAAATGTGAAGGGACAAAATATGTAATCTTGATTGCTGAGTAATCATTCTCCTAGTAGCAAGTTCAAAATTGTTCTGGAAGAAGTTTATTCCTACTGTTATTTTACAATTTGAGCCTCAAAATGATTTCTAGTTATGCTGTTCTAGAAGGGGAAAGGAAAAATCTCGCTGAAGTTACTAATTCATCAAGCCACATTCCTGCAAGGCTATCCCTGGACACATCTGGACACAAGGCTATCCCTGTGACCATCTAAGCTTTTTTGGAGGAGGCCTCTGAGCACTTTGTCACAGCAGAGACCTGTATCTTTTTGTAGTGCATTTTGGTTCTGTGTAGAGATAATTTCCTCATTTTGGGAAATGCTTCATTTATTTTCAGGATTATCTTGCCCAATGCATTCACTTTTCCACAAATGGCAAAGCTCCAAGTGGCATAAGAATGAAATTTTCTTTAGAAGTTGAAGCTTCTGATTTGAAATCTTCTGGTGCTTATTTGGAACAGTGGGTCACCTTTCCTTTTGATCTCCCCCCCCCCCCCCCCCCCCATTTTCACATATTTGAGCCCCTCTACCACATATTTATTTGTTTCAATCTCATTTTTATTCATGTACACTTCTGTAAAAGAAAAATTTTGGGAGAATTTATTGGGATTTACTAGTGGAGCTGCTAAGAGAGTTTGTTAATGAGAAAACATACAGAATGATTCCCATTTGCTGTGGTATCTCACAACGAGGCATCTTCTTGACATACATGTATACCCTGGTGGTATGAAAATACTTGTCCGAAATGTATTCTGTGGCTCCTGAGGTTAATCTCAGGAACTAGGAAGTTACTGGAAATTGTGTTCTCAGGTATCTTATGAGGAAGCTGGTAATGCAAAGAAGTAAAACTTATCTGTTGTAGAACTATATTTAGTGACAGTTTGGACTCATTAGTTAAAACTTGACAAGTACTTGTTAATTGTCATTTGATTTATTTCCCTGTAACTATCTACAGGTGCAGAGATACAATTGTTTAGACTATTCCTCTGAGGTTTTTTGTTTTCTCACCACTTTCTAAGTGATGTTGCTTCTCTAGCAGTTTCAAAAACCCCAAACTGAATAGTCTACACTTTGAATGTCTCTGAAAATTTATTAGTGTTGGTACCTAGTATCAACAGATATTAGCTGTTGGCAGACTGCAATCATCCTTATGTAGATCTTTCTCATTTACAGCTACATGTGAGAAAAATACATGAGAGGGTTTGTGTATCACCTGTTGTAGGTAGTTTTGATTGTTGAGAAGTCATTATTCTCAAGCATGTGTAAGTAATTGTACCATATAGGACACTAAATTATTCTAACATGATAAAGAATGTGCAAATGTCTTTACACAAATAAACTCATTTGTGCTGATGACTTCTTTGTACTCTCATGGCAAAAGTTTATTGTGCTCTATCTTCTTTTCTTCTTTTCTGAAAGCACCAGATTGCCTGTAACCATTTCTGTAGTATTTGCATTAATTCTGCAACTGTGTAACAGTAGAGCAGCTGTAGTAGTGCTCATACTTGTAGAAGCTTGAAATCACTAAGAATTAGTTGTGTAAGATAAGTACTTGAGAAGTCATATCTTTAAAGTTTTAGCAAAGTCCCAACAAGGGAAGTTTACACTTAATAGATAACATCTAACTCTGTCCTGCACTTAGGACTGCAAGTCCTGAAGACGTCCTGCAGCACCTGAGTTACTGGGGCAGCAATAGGCCCTATGTATAAAAAACATGCAGTTAGACCAGGGTGTATCAAGCAGTGAGTTTCACCGTGGTATTCACAAGTAACTTGGGCATGTGGTTTTCATAACTTTTTATTTGTATTAAAAGGAAATGGTTTAGAAGCCTACTGTGTTAAAAGGCTGTGGTCTAACTGTCCTCAGCTAATCACCCATTCTCATCACAGCCCACCTCCTCTGAACCAGTTGTGACTGGTTCAGTTTGTAGGGTTTTTCCACTACATAACCAAACCTTCCTGTAAACAAACGCCCCAGCACCAGAAGCCTTAAAAATCTACTTTTCCTCTTATTTGTGCTAAATAAATAATAATTAAAATCTTAGTAATAGCTGTTTATGTTTGTATAAACAAACTTAAGGGATGTGTGAGCTGTTGGAAGGTGTAAAACCATCAACCAAGCATTTAAAAAAAACCCTGAAACTGAGAGGTGATGGTTTAGGGTTTAATGTAGGCAAGGGGTTTCCTGTGTTTTCTCTCTATTTTTCCGAACTGCATGGACAATATCTTTCAGTTTTGTGTAGGAGACACAAAGAGTGGATTCAGGGATCATATAGTGAGAAATCTTGGTTCTTTAATGCAGTCAAACATTTGTCTAGCAGAGGCGATCCATGCAATAGCCAGGTAAAATCCATGATGCTACTGAAATCTACAGTTACTACATTCCAAAAATACCATTGTAGCTAATTTTTTTTCATTTTGATTGGAACCAAACCTTAATAAATAATAGCATGGGATCCCAGCTATTTCTTAAAGTTTAACTGAAGACTACAAATCACAACTTTCTTCACATTGAAGAGCACGATGACATTGAAGGCAGTAATTAGTTGATTTGGCTTCAATATTCAGATTCTAATATAGCTTGTGAGGTATGCCATTAGTAAAATAGCTGTGGTTGTTATAACTCAGCTTCATATGTTTTCTTTCCCTTATGATGGCATGAACCTTAGGACGTAGTCCTGTTTTAACAACATTTTCCCTTGTCATAGCCTAGCTGTCTTACAAAGATTAACTTTCTGTTTTATAACAGAAAAGATGTAACAAACTAGTATTTATTGTTCCATGTCAAAGTGTTCTATTAACACATTGAAATGCAGAAAAGTGATGTTTTAAGGACCTTTGTTTTTCTGAGAAATTTATATGAACAGAGAAATTAATCAGGTTCTCTAGACATCTTTGTACAGACTGTGGAAATGCTGGAGAACAAACACAGGCCTCATAAAGACAGCTGGAGGAAAACTTTTATTGCCATCATCATTACAGAGACAGTTAATGTAAATGCTGCAGGGCTGTATCTCCAAAACCTAGGGCAGTGTTTTGCCCAAAACCAAGCAAATGATTTATGCCAATATGTCTACTTCCTATTTTTCCACATAAATTTGAAAAGAATTGATGTGTGGAACTGGGAGATTAAGAGTTCAAAGTCTCTGAGAACTTCTCTTCCTTTGTGAAAATCAGAGCTTCATATCTGCAGTTTTGCTCCATTTTAAAAGGTGTCTTTAAACAAGGTGATGCTCATGATCTTTGTGATAGTTTTCTTTTTTAAAAAATTATAATGTGCAGATTTTCAGACTGTGTCACTGGTGGATTTCTTCAATTTCTGCACATGTGCACCTTAGAATTGCTTTTATTCCCGTCTGACTTCTTCATTCAAAATTCTTTTGCTCACTTTTTAAAGTTTTGTTTAATTGTCTCTTACAGCATACCACTTCAGAATAATTAATTCCTGTTTTGTTGGATACATGAGAGTTGCAACAAGTCACTGAAAGTAAAAATTAACCAAACCTGTGAATTTACAGCACAGGAATGCTCCTAATTAAGCCTCAAATGCAGTGACAAAACACATCTGTTCTTTATATGTCAAAAGCCCTGTTATACCCCCAAGCTTCTGGATGTATGGCTGCTTCTGACATGGCTACCTTCTTCATTTTGCAATATGGACTTGGATTAAAATGCATTATTCCTATTGCCTATCTTTATTTAATATTCAGAAAAAAATTAAGAAAACCAGACTGATATAGAAACACTAGCAGTAAAGCAAAATGAGCCTTTATGCAGTAATACCAGAAAATTATTTTGGAATTTTTTTTTTTTTTTTGTTACATCTAACACCGAGAGCAGGGATTCTATATGGATAAGCGTACAGCAAAGTAAATTGAAGATCAGTTTGTAGCCCTTTCTTAAAACAGCATTTATGCTTTCTTTCCTTGGTGCTTGGTTAAAGTCCACATTCTGTAGATGAAGAAGAGTATGATAATATTGTACATAGAGCTCTTCAGAAGAAGGATGATGTATACTAAATATGCTGTCCTGTGCATTAACTGATCTGTAACAAATAAAAGACAGAAAAGTCTTGTTTAATCTCAACATTGTATAGCAACCTAAAAAATGGATAGAAATGGAACAATGCAGTCAGTTTACTGCTGCAATTACATTGACACCAGTGCACAGCATCAATACATGCATCAACACAAAATCTGTTCTGTTCTTTAAATGGGTTGGCACTGCTAAGGAGTTCTAGACCTAGTGAGCTTCTTAGCACTAAACTGACTTTCAGTGTCACTGGGTTATACTTCCTTGTAAAGACAAGAGCATAACTGTAATGCTTCCAGCACTTAGTATGATGTTTGTTTAAATCTTTTTGTGTTGCATTTATTGAAGATAACCGCTCATGATTCTTCCTAAATACCATTCAAGCCCAAAAAAATTATTTGTCCAGAGTTCTGGGCAATTGCTAGGCTGATGTAGCATAAGCTGATGTGTTTAACTACTCCAAGAGTTTAAAAACTTGGTGGTGCTTAATGCAGGCTAATAATCTAGTAGCCCAAACAGCATCTGTAGCATTTTAATTAAGCTACTTGATAAAGGTAGGAGAGCCCCTTATAAGAAGTTAGTTCAGAGTAGCACTGAAAGGTTTTTGAGTTGCCAACCCCAGACTTGAAAGATTTCCTGCATACTACTAAGAAAGATAATTTTTGTGATGTTCAGATCATATGTAGCAATATCTAACTCTTGCATGACATGAATCACTTTCCCACCTTTTAACACATTAAATTACCTCTATTAAAAACTGTTCTGCAGTCCTCTTCCTGAGGAGCAGTCTTCACAGAGTCTACTGGAAAGAGAGTTTAAATGCCCCAGTTAGGCTTTTCTTTAATTTTAACAAACATTAATTGAGAAATAGGGGGAAAAAGAGGCTGTACAGGAACAAGGCTGGGAAAATGGGAAGTTAGTATTAAATAAAAAAACGGAGCCTAAGATGAGTCTGCAAAGCAGATATTCACAAGATATTAATTTGCAGAGAGAATTTGAGGAAGAGAAATGCTTATAGAAGTGGCTGGGTATTTGTTGCCGTAAGTGAGAGAGGGCAAAGTGTCTTTGCCCTTTCAAGAATGTGTGCATTAGGCTGTTCCTTGGCAAAGTCTCTTTTATTTGGAACAGGAGTCAGTTTGACCAGCTGACCTTGTCAGTGAAGAAGCTGAAGTCCATTTGCCTTCACAACCTACTGTTCTCAGAAACAAAGAATAATATATGTTGGAAGAGACTTCAGTTAATATGTTAATATTTTAGTGGTTGTTCAACAGAAAAGAATAATATTGAGGCGTGTATGATCTTAACTTTCCCTACTGGGAATTTTGGTGCTAGTTTTTTTTATCTAAAATACATCCTTTTTGTTCTTGAAGTAGCAAATTGGAGTTTGTTCTTGGTTATGTTGTTTGTATGCATTGATACAAATATTAAATTTATATTGCATCTCTAAATACATCCTCCATCTAAATAAGCTGAAAGTATATTTTTGTCCGAACATATTTTGAAGGTTGAAATGTAATTGTTGTTTATGGCCATGCTCTCACTCATTAGTTTATTTATAGTAAGTTAAGAAAAGATGGGTATCTCCAGATAGAGAAGATTAATCTAAACCAATTTAGATTTTCTTATAGATTATTTAAACAATTTTCATTGAGTATAAGTTAATTTGTCTTTAAAGTTGCATTGTCTTTCAGATTTGGTTTTGCATAATCAATCTTTCCACAATTAAAAACAAAATCTTATTTTTATAAATGGCTATTAACTTACTATTTCTGGATTCTGGATAAGTAATATTTTTAAACTTGTTCTCAGTAACCTCATTTTTAACTTCTTAGTTTTTTATATCTGTGACTAATATCAGGGGGTGTCAGAGGGACTTAGATCTATGAGAGGTAATACTGTTTTCAGAAACTTCTATAATATGGAAAGTAACAGACATGTTTGAGTGCAGATCTGTTGGACCTGTTATAGTTTACATTTGATGAGGTTCGCTACTTTAAAATAACTATTATTTTTCTATTACAATTGGATGCTTACTTGGGGACCATAACACAGGCTGAGTTACTTTTCCTGGGTAAACTTTTGGTAGTTTCTCCAATTGTGTACTTTAGCTATTGTGCCTAGGAGCACAGATGTGTTCATTAATAATAGAAAGCATTATTACTCTAATTTTATTATAGAGAAAAATTATGTTTATAATAGTACACCAAATTACATTTTTAACATGTAGAATATACCTTGTGTTGGCAGTGAAGTACTTTTCTCTTCATGCTCGTATTTGCAGAAGTATGTCTTGTCTTCACTCTCTGCTGGCACAGTTAACCAACTGGCAAATGAGTATTCATCCTCTTTTGTGGACAGCCAAGTATCACCTTTTACTACGTTGTCTGTTACTTCCTTTTCACCTTCAGTCCATGTCACCCTAATAACTTCTGGGTAGAATTTCTCAATAAGGCAAACATATATTATCTGATTTTCATGTTTTTTCTGCAGGATTTCAGAGTTTTTTGGGGGAGAACTTCTTTTTTCTGAATGGGTTATTGATGAAGAAAAGTAACAAAACAGAGAGTTGAAAGATCAGTAGTGTACAGCAAATAAATACACAGCCAAAATTTGAAATTCTGAAGAGCAACAAAATAAATGCCTTATTAACAAATATTAATACACTTGTAACAAATGTAAGTGCTCTTTTGAGAAACATTAAGAAACTAAAATACTGTTGAATTTGTCAATAGCTGTTAATGTCACTTAAAACTGAGTTTGAAATCTTCAGGTGGCTGCACAAGTGCCTATATCCCACAACCTTCCAAGCAGCACTGCTGTGAGAAAGTGTATTTGACTGTTCAAGTCTCTGACAATTATTAAATAATAGTAATGTTTCCTGAACAAGCTTCATTTATTCAATAAGAGGAATTTATTACTGCTTTACAAAATTTATGCAAAAACAAGTACATTAAAATTTTGTCCACAGAATATTAAACACAGACCACCTACCTTTAAAATCTTAGCAGTCTTATGACCTCAGTATAAGTCCTCACTGCTATATAATGAACATCTGATACATCTCTTAATTTTTTAAAAGCCAGTATTACTTTTGTGATATTTTTTAGGGCGCGAGGGAAGGAAAGATAACAATGATTGCTCTGTTTTTAAGGCATTCCATGTATTTGCCAGGTGAAAATTTTTATCAAGACAGGAAAATGGAATCACAAAATGCCCTGGACACCAAAGGTTGGCAATGCTATTTTGTCATACTAGATCTGTTTAAATGACTGAATTAAAACATCTGAAAATTAAAACCCAAAGCTAAACTTAAGCAGAAGAACATGCTATAGCAGGATAACATTGTCACATCTAAATAGTATATCTAGCCAGAGTTGTCTGCATAGATGTTGTTCTTTGGGAAACATGCTCAGTATGAATATAGATTAATATATATTTAAATTAAAAGTGAGCTGTTTCCACAAGCTTATTTGACCTAATCTCCATTTAATTTGCCTCTTTTGGATCAAGCCTGGATGCTCTCTCGATTAGAAGGAGACAAAATCATCCCAATTTTGTCCACACTGAGATGACATTTTGATATTATTTAAGTGGATAGTAAATTTAAGGGTCTGATTTAGGTAAACATCAACTTCTGCAGTGAGTGCATAGGCAGTGCTCACAAGCAATCATTTCTGCCTATGCTTAACTGCAAGTGAAGGCTGAACACAGTTTTCAAAACTGACTTTTGTTACATAGAAAGTACTGCTTAAGACTATTTTTTTAAGGCAGCAGAGACATTTTAGGTCTTCCTTTATCCCACTTTTTCTCTTGAATTCCTATGTAAGTTTCTGCCTGAATTTGAGCAAGTGGATGCATTGGGGTTAAGCTGTGGCCTGACTGATCGATGCAAATTTAATGCATTAGGAGAAAATAATTACTATAAAATGCATTTTTGCCAAAAAGCTTTCACTTTTCTTTAAATTATATGGCTGTTCTAGAAAAATCTTCTACATTGCATTCTCCCTGAAACAACTTACTGATCCTTTGAAGTATTTCCAATTTGGTGTTTAAAGAGAAAGATTACCTATCTTCCTTCAAAAGGGTGTCCACCTTCTGCATATTAAAAATTTCCTTCATATTAGAGATGCCATTGAAATGACAATGTGGACTGAGTTATGTTGTACCACAAATAAAGCTGCTGACAACTTTATAGTTCTCTAGTGTTAATTTAGGAGTTAATTTTATCTTCTTTATGCATCAGTCCTCTCAAGGATGAAAAATTAAAGTAATTTCTAAAGTTATCTATTTGTTCCAGAGTCATATATATGTTCACAAGATCATGAAGTAGCTCTTGTCTGAGTGATATTGCACTCTGCAAAGCTTCATGACTATTTCAGATGTTTCTTTTAGATTTTCAAAGTTCAGTAATTAGCTAATTAGTCTAGCTAATTTCAGTACATATAATAGCTTAATTTGACATTATTCTCTTAGGACATCAAGTTTAAATGGAGGGGCAAGAGAGATTCTTCCAACTGCTAGTTCATCCTGTTCATTTAGAGACTTCTGTTATGATGGAATAATTTCCACCTCTGGAATTGCTAATGTCATTCCATTTACTGTAAAAACACCCTAGGTGTGTAGCTTACATGAAACACCTAAATCATACCACGATACTGAGGAAACACATTGCTTGAATAATTCAGCTGTGTGCATGTGTTGAAGTGTCGCATGTATGTATATGGGTAAATGGTATGGATGGTAGTAGAGAACTGAAAGAATTAAGTTTTGCATCTATGTATGTATGTATGTATGTATGTATCTATCTATCTGTCTATCTATCTTTTTATGTGAGAAAAAAAATCTTTGTATGAATGTTTCTAAAAAAAAGGGATGAAAACTTGTAGATTTGGCTGCAGGTTTTGATGTATTTTCAGGCTGATCTGCAAAGTCTTTGAAGTCAGCAAGATAGTTGACACTGGTTTTTCTAGGCAAATTATCTGATTCTTTCTGAAAAATTTTCAAGTACTTCTCTGTCAGTTTTGATTCAGCTAAACACTGAAAAATGTTGTGGTTTACCTTGTTAAACAGTTTTCTAAGGCAGGTTTTAAGAGGTATATAGATGTTACTTTTACACATAAAATATAGGTATGACCAGATATTTCGTAAGCTAACATTTGTCTTTTCTCTCGTGTTACAATGCAGCGAGGCCATAAAACACTGTTCAAACTAAATACTGGAGTTAGGTTCATAACCAATGAGCTATTAAAAAATTAAGTTCAAAACATATGTTTATATAGATCAGCTGTCAGAAGTTTTCTTAATGAAACTCCTATATAGTTGCTTTATAAGTATCTATAAATGAGATTTATAAATAAAGTCACGGTGTTCTTAAACTGAAATTTTAATTCTTACTACTTGGATGATCCTACAAAATGGAGTAATTTTGTACTGACACTCAAAGCTCCTCTGTTCCACTCCAAGCCAGTGGGACCTGAGGGCACTCAGCACACTCAGCTCATAAACAGCATTCTTGTTCTACTTGACAGCGACTTCAGGGATTCTAACTGGTAATGATACAGTACAGTCCTGACCTATGGTGAGCCTTTCCAGATACCTTAAAGAGCTGTCAGCCTTCTTTCCAAAGCTTCCCCATTGCAAAACTTTTAAAAACATAAGACTATGAAAAAACTTACTGGAGACAATGAATTTTGCGCCAGAACCAAATACCAAATTCCCTCGCACACTGGTACATTCCTTTACAGAAACGACCATCTGAAGGGTGGGATGACATACAAAGGGACCTGGACAAGCTCAAGAAGGGAGCTTGTGAATTTCATGATGTTTAACAAGACCAAGTGCAAGGTGCTCCACCTGCGTCGGGGCAAGCCCTGGTGTCAACACAGGCTGAAGGATGAACAGATTGAGAGCAGCCCTGCTGAGAAGGACCTGGGGGAGTTGGTGAATGAGAGGCTGGATATGACCCAGCCATGTGCACTTGCAGCCCAGAAAGCCAAATGTGTCCTGGGCTGCATCAAAAACAACATGACCAGCAGGGCAAGGGAGGGGATTCTACCCCTCTGCTTTGCTCTGATGAGACCCCTCCTGGAGTGCTGAGTCCAGCTCCAGGGTCCCCAGCACAGGACAGATATTGACCTGTTGGAACAAGGCCAGAGGAGGCCAAAACATTGATCAGACCTCTCCTATGAGGAAAGGCTGAGAGAACTGGTATTGTTCAGCCTGGAGAAGAGAAGGCTTTGGGTCGACTAATTGCTCCCTTCCAGTACCTGAAGGGAGCCTACAAGAAAGATGGAGAGAGACTTTTTCACAAGATCATGTAGTGACAGGACAAGGGGGAATGGCTTCACACTGAAAGAGAGTAGTGTCAGGAAGAAGTTCTTTACTTTGAGGGTGGTGAGGCACCGTAACAGAGCGTCCAGAAAAGTTGCGAATGCCCCATCCCTGGAACTGTTTAAAACCAGGTCAGATGGAGCTCTGAGTAACCTCATCTAGTGGAAAGTGTCCCTGACCACAGCACCGGGGCTTAAACTAAATGATCATTAAGGTCTCTTTCAACCCAAGCCATTCTATGATTCTGGCCAGAAAAGTACCAGATTTAACAACTATAATATGAACAACAACATTCTCTTGATTTGGCTTTGTGAATATAGAATATTTGGATTCAATCTCAGCTAATGCTGCTATTCACAAAGACCCTTATCTTAAATCCTGGTTTCCTCCATTTCTTAATTATTTTAAGTTCTTAAATGTGAACAGCCCTTTTTCTCTATTAATGATTCAAAAGCCTTGGGCTCAAAAAGACAAAATCCTACAGAATTATAGTGATGATTGAAAAGAATTTATTTTGAACTGTATATAGGAAAAGCATGGCAACTACCTGATAAGGTAGGTAATGGTTTTCACTAAAAACAACATGCTTATCATGCCACAGATATTTGCAGCAAATTATAGGTATGATTTACTTAGTCCTTCTGGCATAAATCATTAAACCAATCTTTGCATGATATGTTAATATAGGTTTATGTATTAACCAGGTTGAAAACTCTTGGTAGCAGTACTTCCTCTGCCTTGTATTTGTTTAGTTGTTCACTTCAGGATTATGGCATTTAAAGCACATGTGGGAAATGGGAAAAAATATTGCCTGCTACTTTCCATTAATATAAATGTCTCTGCAAGAAAGGCAAAAAAAGCATAACTTTTTCATTAAGCCATTATTAAGCAGTAATTCACCATAATTAATACTGAATAATTAATTAATTTGTTAAGCAGTTATTAAGTAATGAGAAGAACATTTGGAGGTACTAATTTATTTCTAATGCCGAAGTGTTGCATATGTGACAAAATACTTATGAACAAGTTATTTATCTTTTTCTAGCCTAATCAAAAAAAGATTTTTTGCAATGTCCATTGCATACTGCTCTTTGTGTCTGTATTAGAAAGAGGTTTTCTTTTTTCATGCTTAATACTCTGCTGCTTGATTCCCTGCTAATTCCTTCAGTACAGCTGGAGGAAAGAATGAGATCTCTGAAAATTATTACAGACCATTTTCCACCAGATTTCTAGGAGAACAATGATCAAAAGTGGCTTGAAATAGGTTACTTTTAGGCATGTTTGTGATCCCAAACCACTGCATTACAAATACCACAAGGATGCATGTAGGAAAGCAAGCTGGGAAAGAAAATCCTGCACAAGGAATGGTGCTGACTGAGGCTCTAAGTGGGCTGAGTGACCTCTGAGAGAATATAATACTCATCTATATGACCACTCCAAGCTCCTATAACTTATTGTATGAACAATATACATACAACTTACCTGAGACAATGAGTTTTGTACCTGAGCCAAACACCTTGTTGTAATAACCAATCACAGTGAATAAAGTCTTTACAATATCAGTGCAGCTCAGTTGTGTTTGCATGGGTACATAGTATTCTTTAAAGAAAATCAGATTTGTTGTATAATCAATTTTTAAATTATAGGAAAGTCAAAAAGGAGCAGTCACCTAAAATAAAGTTTCAAAAAATGGAAAAAATGTGGAATTTTTGGAGGGTATATAAGCTGTTAAATGAACAGAATTCATCTCAACTAATCTGACTCTTTTGAAGGTTTAGGTGGACAGTGCAGATAGAACACCTTGGCTCCATCTCTACTTTCTGGAAACAGGCAGCATCACCCTAAGATTTATTTGATGAGATGTTGATAAAGTACTTTGCTCCTTATACACCCCTATAAGATCAGACCCAGAGCTGGTGAACATTCTATAGAAATCTGAGGAGCATGAGACTATTGACCAATATTTTTGTTACCAGTAACTTGAAGCAAAACTGCATTGATTGGAATTAAAATTCCCACTAACAAGATACACTATTTTCAGCTGGTCAAAATTAGGCAAACCATTTTCATCTCAGATGCTTAGCTGAGACAAATTACAGGCAAGTATCACAGCACCTGGGGTTTACTTGAAGCAAAATATTTTGAAAATATTTTGAATTTGAAATTGATAATAAGCAGTTTCTGCAAAAGCTAGGAAGAGAGAGCAACTTTTCAACTCTGCCTGTCTTAAAAGGTGCAACTTACTGTTCTGGGCATATCTGAGATAACTCTCATTTTCATTCATAGTCAGATACAGTCCAAAAGAAAAATGTTTACCTTTTCAAAGAATATGTGTAACACAGATGTTGGACATATTATTTTCAGAATGAATTTGGAATATCACAAAGGTCAGATGTGCATACCTAGAGATAAAAAACATTTTTCTGTTCTCCAAATGCTAGCTTTGCCATATTTAAATTCATTTTTACATAGAAAATCATAATGAGATAAGTTATAGGTCTCTGCTGCAATAGTTGTTGTGTTTCCCAGATTTCTTGCATAAATACAGAACAATTACATGGTGTTGTGCAAATAAAAATGGAAATGCCGTTTAAGGGGGAAATCTTGCGAAGTATTCAGAACAGTTAGAATTAGAGAGAATTAAAATAGCACAGCACTTCATGCCAGCCAATGTCTAGCTGTATTAAAAAGCATTTCAGAAGTAGTCAAGTTTTACGTTTTGTACTTACTTGAAACTCTAAGTTCAGTTCCACTTCCAAATATTTTGACGTCAGGATCCCACAGTGTGATAATGCTTATCAATATCTCCTGCACTGCACTTTTCTTGCATAGGCTACAGAAAAAGTCTCTCTGGTTTAGAGGCTGGTGATAAATCTGACTGAGTGCTATAGCTGAATTTTCAACATTGACTAGAGTGTCATTTCTAGAAATACTTTAATTTTTGTAGCAAGTAAAAAGTTCTGACAATTTTTGGTCAGAGGCATGGAGAGAAAACATTTAAAATTTCTCTGCAATTCTTCCCAGCAGTTTGCAATTTGAGTTAATTATAGCCACCTTGATAATGTCATGTAGTTTCTGAGTAACATACTGTTGGCATTGCTATATGCTTTATATTGAAATATATATACACAGCATTCATCCTTTGGATTGCATAGCTTCACCACAATTAAAAAAAATACAAATACAAAAGTAAACCACTTGCTTTCAGTACAGACAGGAACTAGAAATGTATTACACTGAGGGAAATTTTCTTCCCAATCAATTTAGACAAGACCACTCTGTCAATAAGAAACTTTTTCATTTCTCACATGCTGTTCTGGGAGTTAACTTTCAAGCAGTTTACTGTTGTTTCTTAGAACAGGATGAAACCATCCCAGTATTTAAATTTACCTACCCAATTGGGGCACCATGCACTGTTCACAAACAAAATATGATTTATCAGGCAGAAAATAATTTTCCTCACAGTCTTTCATTCTTGATTATCTGAGAACTTGAACAATTATCTGAAAATCTGTTTAATGATAATGGTACTTACCAGAGACAATTAGCTTTGTTCCCATGCCAAAGTATTTGATCCAGGTGCTCCACACTATGTTTTGACTTTACAATAAGCCAGCATGCTCTCTTGATATACCATTGATGAAGAAAATCCCAATTTTTCCCATTCATCCATGGGAGTCTGCATGAAGACCTGGTCCTTGGCTGCTGGGAGGTCGTCAGGAATTTCATATGTGCATCTGGATATTCAGCCAATAGCTAATGTTCTTCAGAAAAAAATCTCTTTCCTGTTAGAAAACCCCTCCAGTTAATGTCTTAGAACTAGATTATGAATTTTCTTTGATTTTAGACAGTAAATAAGAACACAGAGTTCTGCATGTAAAAAAACCATGTTCCTTCAGGTGAAAATCCTGCTCTTTACCAAAGGTGTACACCTGCAATTACATGATATCAAGTACTACTAGCATGGAGTAAATTTTTCATTGTTGGAACACAGAAGAGAGAAAGGAGGGAGAGCCAGCACCAAAAGCATTATGAAAGTGTCTGTGTGCTGCATGTTGTCCCAAGTAGGTTGTTATTGTCTGCCCATCTCTTGGAATCACTCCAGGCTTTGCTACAGCAACTCACTGGCAGTTTTTTATATAATAACTGGTGGGAAAAGGAGGCTTTTCCTTGCATGGGTTTTTTATAAAACAGCCCAAGATAACATCAGAGGAGTCACTACTACTGTCAATCAAACAGCCTCCATGCTTAGTTTGGCATTTAAAATAAACAGAGTTAAAGTTTACTTCTGGGATCTCTTGTAGCATACTGACTGCAAAATTATGTTGAGAAATTACTATGTGTGGCAAAAGACAGGAACTAGAGGGTGAAGGTCTTTCAGCTGAAATAGGTGTAAAAAACCCCAGTGGTCTACTTTGAAGTCTTCTGAACAGAAACATCCTAATCACAACCACAAATCAAGAGCAGGAGTGATGTAGACAGAATGATGCTGACTGGTGTTTTTCCTGCCACGCCTTTAGACATGCAGTGAAGGAAACCCCCTATCTCAGTTCTGGCCAGACAGGGTTAATTTTTGCAGCAGATGGGAGAGTGCATGGCTAGGACACACAAGTTACTCTGCATCACCTCACCTTATTGCTGGATGTGGGGGAAGAAAGTCTTTTCTGGGGGAGAAGGGGCTCCTTCTGGTCAAGTACCTGTGGCAGAGTGAGCAGTTGGGTAATACTGGTTCTGGGCTGGAGGGAGCCGTCAGCTAACGCCAGTTTCAAGCAATCATGTGGGAATTGTTTTGTATGTTGCACACTTCATCAACTAAGTTGCTGTTATTGTTTGGTTTTTATCTCATTGCTGTTTCCAGTAAATAGTTCTTATCTCAACTCATGATTTTCACCTTCTGTGCCTTCAATTCTACTCTCAAGCCCTCCACAAGACAGTAGGGAGAGCAAGCAAACATAACATGGTTTGAGGAGCATAGGAGCACTACACTGGGGAGTACCATTCCTAAACTATGATGACTTTACTTGGTGTTCAAACAGGGTATGAAATGTTAAAATAACGACAGGTCTGTCCAGAGATGGTTAAAACCAAATTTGATCCAGGTATTTATTATATAAAGCATGGAGCCACTGGTTACAATTTTGCTTGATCTGTTCACATGGTTGTGGTGCCTAACCCTGTTTATATTCCTTTCTGTGCTCCTTTCAGAGCAGGGAGAAGAATCAGGGTTTTTGATGTATTGGGGGATATTAGCTAATGACATGACAACATCAAAATCAATGAGGGACATTTGGGATGTAAATTCAATGTTGCTCTCCTACCCTTACCTTGGGCACAGCCTTTGGGGATCTTTTTATTAATAATTATTAATAATCATAGCCAATTTGTGGAAGGAACAGGAGAGGACAATTTTCCCAAGATTTTCATCCCCTTTTCCTGCTTCAGGCCTGTTGCAACAGCTTTTGAGAATTTTGAATTTCCCTTGGGTGTTAAAGAAAGCGTGTTCTTGTTGCAAAGTCTGCCAGATCTCCTCAGTGTGGCTCACACCATGTTTAGAGTCAGGACAGAGATATATAGGAAGGTTATTCAGAGATCCAACTTGAGAGTTTTTAGTCATGAGCGCCATAAAAGGTAGGAGATTATGGGCAGTTTTTGAAGGATCACTCTGTTCCAATGTTTTGGAAGTTCACCCTTGGGGTTGAGTGAGATGAAGGTTTTGCTCTAAGGTTGTGGGAGAAATCCCCTTAGTTATGGTGATCAAAAGCTCACCCCCATTGTCCCCTGGGAGTTCATCTGTAAAATGATTACTAGAAAGTTCTTTGTTCCTCCTGTTGTTATTGGTTTTTATTTGCTGCATTGATATTAATATTCCTAACCCCAATTTGTCATTGGTACCCTGTCCCTCAGATTCTTCCCCTAACCTATCCTATATATATCACTGATCCTACCCTTACCCTCACCCTATACCCTGTTTGTGGTCCCTGCTGTTTGTTGTTTTTGCTGATTAAAACTATCTCTTATTTTCAGATCACTAAATCATGCCTGTCTCTATTTATTTGCCATGCGGACTTTCTCCGAATAGTCCTGAGGCAACACTTGGACATGCCATCTGGGCCTGGTGTGCCACACTGCAGGACACTGGCAGAGGTGTAACTTACTGCAATGTGCCCTGCCTACTCTTTACTGGACATAGTCCAATACCAGACAGCACTTTCAGGGAGAAGAGGAGGAAAACACACCAATAGGCACTGTGGCCACTCAAACTGCAGCTGAATGAGAGAAACAACCCGTGCTAGTTCAGAAGAAGAAATACAAGACAAAATCAGTTTGTTTAGTGAGGGATGAAGAATAGGGCCCTGTAGTGGTTTGTTAATTTTAGATTTTGCTAATTTTGAGATTTTCTGGTTAATGCACTAAGGAGTGTAGTGAGTTTAGTGTTGGCTAATCACTAATGCACTCACTTCTTGTTGTGAGATAGGATTAGGATAAAAGCAAAGCAGGCTCAAAAATTAAAAAAGGTATAAAGAAAAACTTATTAACAGTAATTAAAAGAAAGAGTAATAAGAATCAGAACAAAAGCTTCAGAACACTTCTCTTCCTCTCACAACCTTTTCTTTCTTGCTGACAGTGTAAAGAAACAAAATTTAAAATTTCAGTCAGCTTACCACCTCTAGAATAGTCTTTCTTCAGTTTACTTAGGGAGATAAGTCCCTCTTCTTCATGTCATGGAGACTTCTCTACAAGAAAACAGTTCTCTCATAGCTTTCATGAATAGCAGCCGCTTGGGGAAATTTGTAATTGTGAACTCTCATATTTGATAAGCTTTTTTCACAGTTGTGTTTATGGCTATGTTAACTTATGGGGTATTGTTTTAAAGATGAACTGTTTAAAGGTAAAATATCTCATTATCTATCTCTGAAATCATCTCTAGGAGCAGACATCTTTTCTTCTTGAGGGCACAGGACTACTCTTTTCTCCTCTGTTCAAACTTCTAATAGAATCACAGCTACTTTAACATCTGCTTACTTTAGTATGGAACCTTTTGTTCAATATCTACAATTTGAACACTTTCATCTCTCTATACTTTTATGTGTTATAGGGAAAAAGAGGATTTCTCTATAGCTTTATAAGAGGATTTCAGTCCCAAGATTAAGACATCTTCTTATCCCTCCCATCTGGGACTTGACTTCCTCTTCACTAACTTTAGTGTTTTTATGTTGTTCTTTTACATACTTGCATCTTGTTTTTTTTTTTTCACTCGAGAGAGTATTAAATCATGGAAATATCTCACTTGAAGTTTGTATCGAGTCACCTAAACTATGACTAGAAGGGCAGCTAAAATTTAATCAGTCAGTCTAAAACTCAGCAGCAACACACCAAAAAAGGAGGGAGGGGGTGTATAGCTTCTCTTTGCCCCTGCCCAATAGTTATAGTAGAATCTTCTCTGAGTTGTCTCGGCCCAGGTTGCTCCTGAAAGTTAACAGATTCAGTTCAGCCCCAGGCTAGTACTAAGATGTTAGAAATCGCAACCATAGCCTCACCCCCGGCACTTCCTCCCCTGCACAGCAGCCGATAAAAAGCCAGCGAGCGCCCGGCGGGGAGAAAGGGGCCCGGCCCCGCGGGCCGGGCTGCCCATCCTGGCCTAACTAAGACAGGGGCTGGGGCCATCCGGCCTGGCCTAGCTAAGGCAGGGGCCGGGGCATGTTGCCTCTTTACCGACTAGAAGAGAAAGACAGTTTTTTCCAAAATTTTTCATATTTAACGTGTTTTTCACAGGGGTTTGTACAGTTTCCCAGTAGTTCTGTAGACTGTCAGTTACACAAAACTTTTACATTGCATCTGCAGATGCCTCTCATGCAAAACCACTACAGGCGCTCACAACAGGAGGAAGAGGCAAGGCCAGACATAAACACTAATCCCTACCCCAGGTGAGCTGTGAGATATGTGAAAAGATTTCAGCTGCCTGTCAGGAGAGCCCCTGGTGACCTTCCTACCCTGATGCTGGGAAAACGTGGCCCACAACATAAAAGTAGATGGTAGTGAAGCCAAGCAGCTGAGATCCTTGTTCTGGGATCTGAGCATTGGCAAGGGGATTGGGAAGCGGACAGAAACTTTCAGCCTCTGGAGGTGACTCCTGTCAAGTGGAAGGGAAAGGATTCTTTCATTCTCTCAAAGATGACACAATAGAGTACCCAAGGAAGTTGAATACCCTGGAAAAAGGTATCCAGTACCTGAGCGAATTAGCTGTGCTGAAGGTAATCTTTAGGGATTCAAATAACAAGCAGTCCCTTGTCCAGTGTACACAATGTATGCGGCAGAAGTTTGTATGGAGCTTGCCATCATTGCACACAACCCTTTGAAATTCTTTTCACTGACATCAATAAAAGAAGAAGAAACACTGCTTCAGGTGATGACCCTACTCTGACAGTATGTTCATCTTTTTTCCTCCCTACCAACCTAAGCCTTGGCTGTGGAAACATTGCCCAAAACTCCAGACAGACTCAAAAGATTCAAGCATGTTAGAGAGGAAATGTCTGATATTCTGCCAGTATGGACCACAGTCTCTTCTACTGGGAGCATGCACCCCCCCTGCTCAAGAGAGTGGTACATACCGCAAGGTAACCTAGAGGTGGTTTTATTTGTATTACTATAGAGAGGACATGAGGAAGCACCTCTGCCTTAGCAGCACAAGTATATGAGTGTGCTGATTTAAAAACACAGCTGGAAAATTAAACCCCATTTAAGCTTCTCTTTTCCCCCCACCCCCTCTTAGTGAGAGACTAAAAGCAGAGATTCTGAGTTAAGAACCATTTACTTGAGAAAAAAAACATGAATAAAATAAGAAAAATGAACAGTAATTATATTAAAGTACAGAAAACAAAAGTGATTTACATACAGAAAGTTATTCACCAACCAAGACCCTGCACAACCTGAGACAAAGAAGAAGTGAGACCTGGCCCCTCCTCCCGTGCACTGGGCCATACAGCACCTGGAAAGCTAGCTAGGTAGTCTGAATGCGAGCTATGCTGCTGAAAAATGCTGGCACCATCAGTTGCAGCAGTGGTCCCAATGCAGGGGTCCCTTTTCCCAGGACAGTGGTTATCCCAGTAGTGGTCCTGGTGGGCACTGCAGCTGGCATTGGGGATCTTGGCAGCTGCAGATTTAACAGCAACAGTAGCAGCAGCTGTGGCAGTAGCAGCATTTACCCCTTTTGAGTTTCCGATGGCCATGTGTTTAAGGGAACAGTTTATTCTTTCCCATGGCCAAGGTGAGACTGACTGCTTCCAACTTCGGATGCAGTTTGCTCAACCTTTTCTGCTGCAACCAAACTCCAGCCATGATGTGAATTGTATGGAATTAAATAGTGTTAGAAACTCCACCCCTCTTTTTTAGCTCTGTACCCAGGACAACCTCTGCAGGAAATTCTTCAAGGATAAATGTCCCTCCACTTTACAGTGGGCAAATCTTCAGACAAAGTAGGAGGGCTGATGTTACTTCTGATCCTCTTGAAGGGACCTCCAGTTCATGTTTACAAGAACTGAGAAATGAGTACTATGACCAGAAATAGAGGGGACTCCAGCCAGGTGGAGAAAAGGGACAATCAGATCTATTGTACTGTATGAATCTGACGGCCTGACGCAAGAGTGTAAGCCTATAGTTGGCACTGGCACACAATGTACCCTGATGCCATCAAGATCTATAGGGACAGAATCTATCTTTATTACTGGGGTGATAGGGGGATCCCAACAGCTGACACTACTGGAAGCTGAGGTGAGCCTAACTGGGAAAAAAAGGCAAAAAGACTCAATTCTAATTTGGCCCAGAGGGCCTGTGTGTCCTTGGCATAGATTACCTTGGGAGACAGTATTTTGAGGACCCAAGAGGTCATTGTTGGCCATTTGGGATAGATGCTGTGGAGATAGGCGAAATTAGACAGCTGAATTCCTTGCCTGGTCTCTCAAAGAATCCTTCTGCTGTGGGACTGATGAAGGTCAAAGAACAACAGGTACCGATCACTGCCACAACACTGCATCATCAACAATACTGCACCAACCGGGACTCCATGACCCTCATCCATGAGATGATTCATGAACTGGAGAACCAGAGAGTGGTCAGTAAGGCTTGCTCACCCTTTTAATAGCCCCATATGGCCAGTGTGTAAGTCCAGTGAAGAGTGGAGACTGACAGTGGACTACAGTGGCCTGGATGAAGTTACACCACCACTGAGTGCTGCTGTGAAGGACATGCTGGACCTTCAGTAAAAACTGGAGTCCAAGGCAGAAAAGTGGTGCCACCATGGACATCGCTAATATGTTTTTCTCCATTTCTTTAGCAGCAAAGTGAAGGCCACTGTTTGCTTTCACCTGGAGGGGTGTCAAGTAAACATGGAATGGGCTGCCTCAGGCATGGAAAGACCCCCACTATACTCGAGAGAGTATTAAAGCACGGAAATATCTCACTTGAAGTTTGTATCAAGTGAGTCACCTAAGCTATGACTAGAAGGACAGCTAAAATTTAATCAGTCAGTCTAAAACTCAGCAGCAACACACCAAAAAAGGAGGGAGGGGGTGTATAGCTTCTCTTTGCCCCTGCCCAATAGTTATATTTGCCATGGACTGATCCAGACTGTATTGGAAAAGAATGAGGTTACAGAATACTTGCAATACATTGGTGACATTATTGCATGGGGCAACACAGCAAAGGAAGTTTAAACAGAAGAGGAGGAAGAGGCTCTACCATATAGTCAGCTACCAGAAAATGAAAAGTGATACCTTCTCTTTACTGATGGCTTCTGCTGTATTGTAGGGATTCACTGAAAATGGAAAGCTGATATATGGAGTCCTACACGGTGAGTCCCAGAAGCTATTGAGGCACAAGGTGGATCAAATCTATTTGCAGAGCTGAAAGCTGTCTAGCTGGGTTTAGATATCACTGAATGAGAGAAATGGCCTGTGTGCTACCTCTACACTGACTCATGGATGGTAGCAAATGCTCTGTGGGGGTGGATGGAGAGATACAAAAAGAACAATTGGCAGTGCAGAGGTAAATGCATCTGGGCTGCTGAACTGTGGCAAGACATCACTGGCCAGGTACAGAAGCTGGTTGGACAACTACATCATGTAGATGCACAAGTGCACAAGAGTTGGCCACAATGACAGACAGGTGGAATGGGCTGCCAAAATTAAAGTGTCTGAGATGGATCTTGACTGGCAATGATGAATTATTTCTGGCTCACTGGGCCCAGACACCTCAGGTCATCAGGGAAGAGGTGCAACAAACAGATGTGTTCTTGATCAAGGGGTGGATCTAATAATGGACATTGTCTTCCAGGTTATCTACAACTGGGAAACATGCACTGCAATCAAGCAGGCCAAGAGGGTAAAGCCTCTGTGGTATGGGGAACCATGGTTGAAATATAAATATGGGGAAGTCTGGCAAATTGCTTGCACCACATTCCTCCAAACCCATCAAGGCAATTGCTACATTCTTACAATAGGGGAAGTAACCACTGGATGGCTGGAGACCTACCCTGTGCCTCACACCACTGACAAGACCACCACCTTGGGCCTTGAAAAGCAAGTTTTACGGCAACGTGGCATCCCAGAAAGAAATGAGTCAGACAATGGGGCTCATTCTAAAAATGGCCTCATAGACAGCAGGGCCAGAGAGCACAATACTATTGAGTGGGTATATCATACTGTCTCATGCACCAGCCTCTGGGAATATCAAAGCCTCCACATATCAGAGAAGGGGATAAAATCCCCATAGTGCATATGAGGAATATATGTTAGAGTAGACAATTTGGATTAGTCCTGCCTCCAGCAAAGGGAAAGCCATCCATGGGATTGTTTTTGGTGAAGGACCTGGGTGCACATGGTGAGTAATGCAGAGGGGGTATGCAATTTGTGGGAATTTGTCCCTCAAGGGGATTTGATTTTTTGGTAAGAACAGTCTGTAATGTTTAATTGTATAATATTGGTTGCTGAGTGACACTGCCACTGTATGCCATAACCACCATGGACGACGAGCATGGACTGCCCCAGATACACCAGTCATAATCTCCTGATGCAGTTTGCAACCACCCACCAGCACACCAGCCCTCCTGCCCTGGAAGATATCTAGGACCGATAGAACCCACAGTCAAGGACTAAATGAACTCAACAGACATCTTGGAGGGATGGCCATTGACTATAGAATTTATATTCATGCTTTTGTATTTATGTAGATATGTGTATATATGTACATAGCTGGAAGGTATAGAATCTGAGTATGATGTAGATGGTATAGAATCAGGAACAGATAATGTCCTGGTTTTGACCAAGACAGGGTTAATTTTTGCAGGAGGGGCACCTGTATTCTACACCACCTTGTGTCACTGCTGGGGGAGGGGAAAAGGGGGGTCTCTTGTGGTTGGGGTAGCATGGCAGTGGTTCATGTTTTACATGGCTCTGTGAGATGAGTTTCTGCACACGAATAACTTGCCTCTTTCTTGTATGTTGTTGTTAGTATTGTTGCTGTTACTGTTCCTTTTCTTATTGCATTGCTGTTTCCAGTAAATTGTTCTTATGTCAAACCACAATCTTTTACTTTTGTGCCTTCAGCTATCCTCCCTACCTCACTGCAGGTGGTAAGGGGAAGGGGAAGTGGGAGTGAGGGAGCAACACAAGGTTTGGAGTGATTCAGTGGGAACACTAAATTCGGGAATACCTTTCCTAAACCATCACAATCCTATTTGTTTTAACATGAAATGGACGAAGAAGAATGGATGGTTATAAGCAGCACATCATCAGCTCTGATAGGTAAGAGATTGCAAATCTCTAATTTGAACTGGTCTGTGTGGAATTTTGTGGTAACTGAATTAGGGTAGACAGGGCTTACAGTTTTTCCAGTGGCTTGCAGTTGCTAACATGTACGGCAGGGAATATTACATGGTGAAACTTTTTCTCAAAAGTGCTAGGCAGTGGCAAGCATATAATTCCCACCACTGAGGTACTTCCTTCAGCACACTGTATTTCTTTTCTGCCTAATCTTTCCTATGGAGAAAAGTGGCCAGACTAGAAGATTACTGCTTCTCTGTTTGCTCCCCTAAAGACCACCAGAATTATGCCATGGCTGTGTAAAAGCACCAAAGGAGCAGGTAATGTCTAGTATTTATGTGCTAAGTTTTAAGGCAGTGAAGATTTCCTTTGCCCTTAAAATAGTAGATGTGTGTTGAAGACAGGACTGCTAATGATAAACCAGACTTTGAGAAGGACATCTATGCGGGGTTACCCACTTTTTTGGAGTAGCAGAAAAAGGTTGGGCTTTTCAACAGCACTCAGATGCAGTGAAAAGACTGGTGGAGTGGCACAGTTACAACCTTGTGGTTCAGACGTTGCAGGTGTTTTTTTTGCCTTGATGATCTTTGCGTTTCTATCACAGTGAGGATCCCAGTAGGCACAGTAGTAAGTAGCAGCATCATCTGGAATTACATCTTTTATTGTAAGAACACACCTCTTCTGGACAGAACTTATTTCAACTATGTATCTGTTTGCTTGAAAGTCATTTTCAACAGTAACTTTTCCTTCTGAAACAAACAGAAACCTCTCTGGAGCTTCACCCTCCTTCTGCTTATACCAGTGTATGAAGATGCCATCAAAATTTGCCTCTAATGTTTGAATTTCACATGTCATCCGTGCACTTTTTTGGAACTTGGTGATGGATATAGGACTCTGCATGGGAATTTCCTGTGCAAATCCATCTAGGAAAGAGAAAAGGACAAATTATGTAATTAGCTGGAATTCAGGGATTTGGAAAGATGCCTGTTATGGATGCAAAGCAATGGGTGCCTGTGAGGAAAAGTAGGAAAATAAGGAAGTACTTACAAGACCAAGAGGCTGTGGCCACAAACACTATGAGCAGCAGCATGTTTGCTTGTCACACTTTGCTCTCCTTGAGATTCAGAGGAGGATGAAAGGGACTCCAAATGGGAACCGTGTTGTACAGAAGGAGGAAGTGGTTCTCTTGAATGGTCTTCAGTGATGAATGTTCTGTGTGCAAGCGGATGGGGTGTTTTTGCAGAAAACCCTCTCCGGGCTGCCAAATATTAAAATTGGTAAAAAGGCCGTAGTCCTGTCTGCTTTTCAAGTAAATATGGGAAATACTGGTAAAATCCAAGGATTGTGGCCCTATAAAACTCAGTCAAAGTGACTGAGAAAAGGCTGCAGCCAAAAGCATGTCCAGACATGTATGGTGGAGTGAAGGTTTCAGCCTAGAGCTTACCCTGGTGGGCAGTGATTGCATACCTTACCTGAGGGGTGCAGAGAGGTGCACAGTGTCAGAGCAGGTGAGGACTGCCTTTTGCTGCTTCATCTTAGCCCTAACGTAGTCCATAACCTAGGTGCAAGGTGCAGAAGTGCCCAGGGTGCCCCTGTGCTGGTACTGCCCTCCACCAAAAGCTGAAGATCATCAACCTGCAGTGACTGCAGAAGCTCAACTGTTGGGACTTGCCTTTGCTTTGGTTTAGTGTGTGGGAGGAAATGCACAGCCACAGGATTTCTGTTTCAAAGCTTAGCTGAGATGCAAACAATTCTTGGAAAAAAAGGCTGGAAAATAGAACAGCTGTTGTCAACAGCCATTGCCGAGAGACATCTTGATGAGTGGGCTTGATGCTGTGGGGTCTCCCCTGTGACTGGTGAGCCCAGGATGATCCTCCTCCACCAAAGGCTATATCTTTCTTGCTCCAAACTTTCCATCTGATCTCAGGGGCCTGGAATACCTGAAGACCATTTTATGGGTAAATGCTGAGGCAAAGAAAATACTGAGTACCTGTTTCCATGTCATACATCACCAGTTTCCCTGCCCCATCCAGCAACTTTCCCTAGTGTTTCTTTTGCTGCTGCTGTATTTATAGAACAATTTCTTGTTTCCCTTTATCTCATTTGCCAAATTCAATTATTGCTTTCTTAAGCCCATTCCTGCATGGTTGAACAGCAGTCCATACTCCTCCTGGATCACCTGCCCCAGATTCCCCCTCTTTTATACTTCATTTTTATGCCTGATTAAAGTCAGCAGCTTTTATGCTCACTCTTGAGATACTCCTGATGCCTCTACTTAGTTTTCTAGGTGTCAGACTGGACCTTTCTTGAACTTGGAGAAGATTCTTGGATATCAACTAGCATTCCTGGACACTTCTCTTCAGGGTTGCATTCAGTGTGATGTTTCCAAGCAGATCTCTGAAGAACTTTAAAGTCTACTCTCCTGAAGTCCAGAGCTGAGTTCCTGCCTTTTGCCCTGCTGCCTTCTCTCAGGAGTCTGAACTCCACTGTGTCATAGTCACTGCAGCCAAGGCTGCCCTTACCTTTCCATCCACAACAATGTCCTTATTGGCTGCCCAATCACCTGAAACCTCCTAGACTGGTTGTGAGAAATTCTCAGATCCCACAATACAACGACAAAAGGTAGGCTGACTGAAGTTAACATTGGAGATCACATGTACTACAACATATTTTTCAAATAGTTGAGGAAGACAGAACCATCCATAGCAAGATGTTATATACTCAAGTCACATAGAAACCTTAGCAAAAAATGTTCAGAGTCTGTAGAACTATAAATCCATCACTGTGGAGGCATTTGTGTTCATTTTTAAAAGATACTGAACGTGTGCACTCCAATTCAGAAAATGTAAGACATAAAAGTATCTCAGTGTTTTTTTGACCTAGCTTTCAGGAAAATGCCAGCTTTCCCGGAACCAGTCTTTGATTGTAGAATCTGATTTCTAAAACTCAGTACACTTAACCCAAAGGCATTGAGAGTCTTTGCTGTGGCATAGCTCGTGGCTGAGGATTTCAATTTATGCCTCGGACATATCAAATGAGGAACTGTGACGATAAAATTAGGTTTTCTGTGCTGTTGTAGAACTTTATAGTGACTGAGATGCAAAGGAAGGCAAAAGAAAAATATGAAGGAGGATATGCAAGATCAGCTGGTCTTTCCCCCTTCTTTCCTATTCCTGGTTTTTTTGGTTTTTTTTTTTTTCAAGAGAAAATACTGACAGATGAAGAAATGTTGCTCTGCTTGCTAGAATTGTAACAGAGAAGAAAAATCTATAACTCACACACAGAGACTGTCTTCACTGTCAGGTGAGTGCTTTCAGTAAAATCTAGCCTTCATTTTAGGAGCAATGCTTCATATATTTATCTTAAAGTGACAGGAAGGCTTCACTTTCTGGACGTTGCAGACAAATCTGAGCCCTGAAATGGTATACTGATTGTCAACATTAGATATTTAACACTTGTCATAAGACTTTGTTTTTCCTCTCCTTCTGCAGAAAATCATGAAAGGAGTGGAATAAGGAAGTATTTGAATTTTTAGCAGAGCTCACAGCTTGCAGTTCAGAGCACAAAGAGTCTTTTTGTAAGCCTTGTCTTTGCCAAACTAATACTGTGGTGCCTTGATACCAGTATGCACAGTAATAAATGCCAGAATCCTTTGGGGTTAAAGAATTTATCACGAGCTCATATATGGGCTGAGTAGGATCATTCCAAACTTGAAATCTACTTCTATCATTGTTGTCCTCAAAAACAGGTGTCCCTCCAGACTCGTACAGTATCCTCTTCGGCGGCTGTCTGGGAAGCTGCTTGTACCAGTGCACAATGCTTTTGCCTCCCAGTTGACATGACATGCTGGCAGACGTGCCCTTCATCTGGTTCTGCATCTCTGGGGTTTGCACTGGCACGGACTGCATGTCTACACCTGGAAGTGAAAGCAGAGAAATTGCATGAGGGGAGAAACTCCTGGAGTTTGGAACAAGGCTTATGTTCACTATAGACAGGAAGGAGAGAGAAAAGGAAAAAGGTCTTACAGGACCAAAATGAAGTTGCAAGAAGGACTGGAAACAGCAACATATTGCCTGTGCAAATTAGACCTGAAAATGAAATAAATAGAAATGTTATAAAGCCTTTCAGGTGGACAAAGCATCAAATGACTGGGAGGAGGAAATTACTCATTCACCACATCCAATAGTTGTTCTTCAACACATTACCACAGGGGGTGTTAAATTTACTGTCAAGATAAACCATGGCAGAAGCAGCATAGAAAGGACAAAAAAAAAACTCAATCTGAAAAAAACCTTCTTCATCTATCTACTACTAGACTTATATCACACTTACCTACTGAGCACACTCAAGTTGTTCAGCCTGGCCCTTCCCAAGAATGTTGTCCTCTCCTCAGAGACCTCAAAGCTGTCCCAGAAGAATGTTCCACCTTTCCTTAGAACTTCGGAGAATCATAGAATAATAGAATGCTCTGAGTTGGGAGGGACCTTAAAGATCATCAAGCTCTCACCTCTACCCCATGTGCAGGGATGTCACTCTCTAGGTCTGGTTGCTCAGGTCCCCATCCAACCTGGCCTTGAACACATCACAAGGGATGCAGCATCTAGATCTCTGGGTTGTCTGTTCTAGTGTCTCATGACTCTCAGAGTAAAGCATTTCTTCCTAACATCTACTCGAAAGCTCTTTCAGTTTAAAACTCTTCCCTCTTCTTCTATCACCATCTACCCATGTAAAGAATTGTTTTTCATAGGTGCCCTTTAGATGCTGGAAGGCTTCAATAAGGTCTCCCCTAAGCATTTTTGTGTCCAAGCTGAACAGCCCCAACTAAGCCTTAACTAGGCCTGTCACTAGTAGTGTCTGGCAAGGTTCAGTACTGGTTCCAGTATTGTTTAACTTGTTCATCAATGACTTGGGGGAAGGGACAGATGCCTCCTCAGTTCACTGATAGCATGAAGCTGGGAGGAGTGGCTGATACCCCAGAGGGCTGTGCAGCCCTTCAGTGAGATCTTGACAGGATGGAGAGATGGTCGGGCTACTTCCCACCTAAGGGCATCTGCCTGCAATAGTGTGGCAAATGGTCAGAACTGTACAGTGTTGCTTTAAGTAGGCATGGAATTTAGGAGGCTGGTTGAGGATAACATGAGCTGGGCTCTATGCTGCCCTTACATCTGGCTGGAGCAAGGTCTCACAACCAAAGCATGCCTGGGGTGAAGTGGAGGTCTCACAGCCCTGTGTTGTTTCAGTGAGGCACAGAGGAGCACCTGTGCCTATGTACCACCCCTTGTCCTCACCCTCCCTTCCCCCTGAAAGGTGAGCTGTGTTGTAAATCTGGTCTGATAAGAAGAAAAGGCACACAAAATCTCTCTGGAAAAGATCAGACAAAAAAGGCTGCCTCAGACATTGGAGGGGGACCAAACTGTTTATTTTACCTTTTGTGTTAATAAATTCTGACCAAAACTAAGTGACACTTAAATTTTGACACATTTAACTTTCATACTCCTTGGAATGCAAATGAGGAAGAACATGTAATATATGTATGACCAAAGTTACCAAACCCCATCTACAGCATGTGATTGTTCCATCCCATTGGAACGGGCCAAAATTTTATATTATAAAAGGAGGCTTTGGGGCAGTGTTGGGGTTGGGTTTTTCTTTCTTTGTTACTTGTGGATTTTTTTCCCCATTGAGTTGCTAAGAAGCACTGATGGCTGGGTTGCTTGAGAGGCAGGGAGGGGGAACTCCTCTGTTGTTTTGGGAGTTACTCTTGGAGGGACAGAGATACCGCAAGAATAGAGGCAGATAAAAGGACAGGTAAAAGGACAAGGCTGGGGCAGCTGGGAACTCTCTCTCACTCTGTGTTTCGGAGGAGGATGGTCGGACCTGCAGCTTGGAAAAGGAATTTGCTACCACTGCCATAACCTAGCAGGGAGCTTCCCTTCTTCTGTTGCTTGGCCCCCCAACCCCTGCCCCACCGGGACATCCCACAGTTTCCAGCTACCACTGCAGAGCTCCTGATACATCTTGTCCAGCACCCCAGGATTTCTGCTCATTGCTGCCGTCCCAGCTTGCTGCTTCCAAGAGTCCTGCTGGGGCACCTGGATGGGCTGCCCCAGGGGGTTTTGTGAGGCAAAGCCTCTCTTCCCTCCAGGGGCG